CCCCCCCCCCCCCCCCCCCCCCTCTCTCTCACACACTCTCTCTCACCACACGCTCACGCGCACGACAAGGGAAACTTGGCGAGCTTTCGAGAGCTTTGGGAGGAGTGCGTTGCCGCCGCCGCGTCCCGACCCCAGTTCAGGGTCGTCGCTGTCAGCTTCCCTGACCTCGGTGACGACACGGGGCTAGCGGTGGCGACCATGGGGGCCGTGATGGACAGCGAGCCGGCGATGGAGGGGCGGGGGGGAGGCGAAGAGGGGTCGGAAGCGACAACGGCACAGAAAAGAGGGACAGAATTTGAGGTTGCTGGGGAAAAGAAGATTAGGGGCCGAGCTCTCAACGTATGGCAGGTGCGTGTGTGTGTGGTATTTTCTGTATTTTCTGTTTGTTAAAGGCGGTGTATAAAGTTTTTGTTTTTATTGCGCATGTTGTACGCGCGCGTTGCCGAAAACGTAACAACGGGCCTATCTACCTACCAGAAATTGATTCGGTTAGAGTTACTTTACAGGTGTTCTTCACCTATACACAACGCCTTCTTCGCAAGAAGAGACTGCGTCAAAACGTGGTTGTAGGAAAAATCACACATGGAAAACGCACTCGAGATTCGATTCAGCACCTTGACGAGCCGACAGTAAACGTTAGATCTGATCGGTGAGAATATACACACGGAAGACCACAAGCAGTGGTACTCAACCACGTAGATACCTCCGGTGTGGATCACTACTGTGGATTATGCTCAGACCGATGTACGTCGTCGAAACAAGTCGCACTGACACAGACACAAACGCACAGTGGTAGCTTACACTTTTAGTGCTGCTGCTGCTGCTGCTGCTGCTGCTGTAATGACAATGACTCCCATCTACCTTTCTTGTTCGGCAGTGCATGCATGCGCCTGGCACCGAAAAGGCTCTCTTCTTGTGCATTGCATTTTTTTGTCCTCGGTAGAGAGAGAGAGAGAAAAGGTCCCCGCAGTTTTCTGATTGGCCAATTTTTTTGAAAGGAAATTTCCTGTGGACGAAAATTCCATGGTCGACCGATGACGTCAACCACGGTTGTGAGAGAAACTGACAGCAGCTAGTTTTGTTTCTAGGGAACCACTGCTGCCTACGCACCGAACCAGCAGCAATAACAAAGGTATCCGCCACGAGCTGTGGCCATGCTCCGTCTTGTGTGGTGATTAACACCTACCAAGAGGCTGCAGTACGCTCAGAATTGCGGGCGCGAGAGTCTGGCATGGCCTGCAAAAAGAACTCGCATCTGTCTGTCTGCTGGCATCAGTTTCTGTTTTTCTTGTCCGAGATTTACGGCAGTACTGATGATCCCTTCCCACGCACACACCGAATCAACACCAATGACGATATCATCCGCCACGAGCTGTGTGTATGGCTCCCTTCCCTCGCCAGCACTGGTGTCTTACCCCTCCTCGCGATGTTGCGTGTTTAGCTGAATGCTTCCTCTGTTGCTTCCTCTGTTTCTCCTGGTTTAAACCGAGCAACTGCTGTTCTTGCGTCCAACTCCTGGGGACGAGGGCAAGAACGATCGATGATTTTGAGTACAAATGCGTGTCAAGCACGGCCATCTGTTGTCAGAGCGCAACTAAACCGGTGTGACAAAGAGTGCCCTAATTAGCTTCCTCCTCGCAACCCAGCAGATCGTAGATCGGTGCTCTAAAGAGCTCGTTCTTGTTTGACAAAGGCGATAATATTTTGACGAACCATTTTGCGGACGGGTCGCCCCACAGCACGATGGTTGAAAGAGCCCGATATTAGAGCCTTTTTTTCCCTCCTGAGGATGAAGGGAAAGAACGTCGCGCTTCGCGCTCCGCGGCTCATTAAAAGCTGTCTTGGTGTGTCTACACACTACGCGGCACCACATCTGGCTGTCTATTTTGGCCCTTACGCCCATTCCTTTGAACTCCACGTCCCCCTCGGTGTTCGCCATCGGGGTTGGGTTTTCGTCGCTTGGCAACGACGTTGTAAAACAAGCCGCNNNGTAGGCCCATGAGCGGAGACATCGGCACGGGGGCTACGGCGGCATGCATTCGCCTGGCCGTGAAGGTTCTCGACACGCGAGGTACGCGGTAACAACTGGTTCCGACCGCTGACTTTTTCTTTCCCAATCCGATAGATCTGGTCCCCAGCCCTCTCCCCACTGCTCCTACACTACCTTTCCTCGGCGAACCATGCCTCACCATGCGCTTGCGTTGTGTTTGTGCTGCTGTTTTTTATTTTGTGGTGTGCGTTGTGCGGTGTCTCGCGTCTAGCCCTGCCCTTCGGCGAGGGGCAGCACTTCGTACAGCTGGCCGGAGGCACCAACGACCGCACGGCTCACAGGTTGCGGGAGATGGGGCTTATCGGGCACGACTACGACCGCGGCGGCGTCGGCGATGGCGATGGCGATAGCTCGGACTGCCACTCTCAGGCGAGCTATGCACGTCGTTGCAGCCAAGTAGGCAATCTAAATAGTATTTGGTGATGGTAGCAGCGGCGGCGTTTGTTTGTTGTTCGTTTTCTTTGCGCTGTGCTTGAACGTTTGCGAAGAAAGTGCCATGCACACCCTTAACAATGAAAGCAGAGATGTTCGTATCCAGCGTTGTTCTGTTTTTCCTACTCGTACCGTCGTGTAATCTTGCAGTCTGCGAGAGGAGTAGAGAAAGACGACTATCTCCGTTGGCCGCTTAGGTACGGTACCATGAAAACAGAAGACGACGAAAAGACAACTCTACAAGTATAAGCCAAGGTTTGTACCCGAAACCGCCGCCCGCACCTGCACAACTCTCTCTCTCCCCCCCCCCCCCAACCACAATTGCCCGCCAGGACCGTTCTCAAGACCACCAGCGCCGACAACAACAACCACCACCACCATTGCAAGAGAGAGGAAAACGAGTCGGCGGCGTCGCGTACGGGGGCTACGCGCGCAAGGCAGTGGGCCGCGCCCTGGACCGCCTCCCCGGGAAGGGCGCCGGGCGCGTGGAAGACCACCCGGAAGTCCTGTCGGCAGCGCTACGGGAGGCATCCCTGCTCGTCGGAGGCCTCAAGCAGCCTTTCTGAATCTGCATGCGTACATGCCGGTCAAGAACCATTTGTTATGAACCAGATCGTGCAGGAGAAATCCTTGCTCTACGGAGGTCTTCAGAAACATTGAAAACTGCGTAGTATGCGAACATGCCGGTGACGAACCGTCGTAATGGAGCAGCTCGTGTCGTAGCTGGCGCCACTCCGCGCTTCGTCGTGGTCGGGACGACGGTCTCCACCAGCGACTTTTTTGTTGGCGTTGAGGGAGGGCATGCATGTAGTAAATAGTTCTCGCAACGATATTCGGGCGGCAGGTTGCTGTTGATAGGTTTTTCGTTTTCATCTTCGCCTGTCGTGGTTGTCAAGAGGTCGACAAAGTTGTTCCTGTCACCGTTTTGTACATCAGTCCCATCACGTCTGTGTGTGCGTGCGTTTTGATTGATTTTCTTGAAACCCAGGATTTTTTTACCCTACATCGCTTTCACCTACAGCAGTCCTCGCAGCGTGTCGCCGTTGTGCGCTCATCTCCGGATTACTCTGTTCGTCGCGGTGTGAGAGGCTTGAAACGCTCAATGGTCGGCTAAGGCCGGCATGCCCTGCTGTGAGGACCCAGACATCTCGGTTGGCTCACCTAAAAAATTGTCCTTCAAGAAGACTCGTGGTGTACCATGATCTTCCCACCTCCTGCCAGGGACTCGCGACGTTTGCAAAAGCATCCTGCTCTCAGATCGTGGCCGCCCCGACTGCCGCAGTTGTCTGTGTTTATGACGGGAAAGAGCGACCCGTTCGTGTCATGAAATTTTGGCCTGCTCACAATTGCACATAGTCTATCTCTGTATGCGTTTCTTCATAGGAAAACTTTCTGTTGTACATCAAGTCCCCGTGGGAATGCCAGTACAGTTTGAATGCGCGCCGTGCCTGTCTTTCGGCCACAGAGTCGTAGTGGGATCCAGTGCAGGGAGCGGGATCTGGCGTCATGTGTGTGCAAGTTTGATACGGAAAGCTCGTGATCAAGCCTGGGGGGGGGTCACCTCTACGAGGTTTGCTTGCATAGGGATCCCTCCGAAATTTAGCGCATTGCGAGCAGGTGTTATCTACGTGTTCTTCGTCACAGAATGGCGACAACAACTAAAGTTCCGAGGGAGAGGCGCGCACCAGCGTAGCTGAAAAGTCGAGAGGTAAACAGGCGGCAGCCATGCCCCAACCGATCACCTCCCGGCGGGGGGGGGGGG